TTTGTGGAATTTTCTTTTCTGTGCTCAATTTATAACACAATTTGGCATTTTAGCTGCCTTTGTTTCTGCTATTGCAAATGGCAGCGAAGCAGTAAAAATCATTAGCATATTTTGATAAATCTAGGAAATACATAATATGTAGGAGCAGAGTACAGTGCTGTGATAAATGTATGAGGAGGAGGTAGAGTAAATGCTGCACAGCCTTCGTATGTAATGAATTTGCCATGGCAACAGACAGAAATTAGACCGATTGATGCCGTATGCCCTTAGTGCTGATCAGATGTTCATTGGTTGGAGAAAGCGAGGCTGTACCTTATCTTACTAAATAAACACCCTGTGAGGGTCATGTCACAGTACACTGCAGGAAAAAGATTTACAGATGTACAGTATTTGTCCTAGCCAGGTTTACCTGAATTTAGGAGCAACCATATGGAGGAAGTTTCATGTTGTACCAAGTTGCATAAAGACGGCATAGCCTCACTCGAAATGAATAAACTCATCTAAGACTCCATTCACACTGAGCTACAATAAAATAAGTGCTTTTTCTGCGCATATTTGAGCAGAGCGACTTTGAGCTACATCGAGTTTCTTTGAGCTGCAGTGCACATTTTGACTCGCTATGTATCGCTTCTTTTGGCATTTTGCCACAGAGACTTTGTAGCTGCTACATTGGACAGTATCCAATCAAAAAGCGGTGACATAATTGCTTTTCCTGTTTCTTGCTTCTATGGAGAGTGTCATTTCTGGGCAAAAGTGACACATCGCGCTACAATGTTGGGCAAAAACGCCGCCAATGAGCGACATTGAGCTACACCATTGAAGTCTATTGGGGCCGAGAAGCGCATAATCCGCCAAAAAGCAGCTCATGTTCGAGCTACAAGCGACATTGAGCTTCAAGATGTGAACATCTCCATTGAAATGCATTGGAAGAGCTACATTGAGCTTCATGTTTGAACGATTTTTGAGCAGAATACGTGCTACAAAACGCTAATTGTGAATGTGGACTAATGGGCACTGTAAATTGGTGGATGAGTTCAACCACATTTCTCCTGAATATGTGAATGCTCCACAAAGGCTCAATAAGCAGCATATAGAGCGGGTACATTGCCATGCGTACCCAATACATTGCCACATCGCCATTTGTTGGGTCTATGTACACAAAAGTGTACATAGACCCATTGTTTTCTTTTTCTATGGCGTCTGTGTTTTTATGTATTATTCAACATTTTTCATGTGAATGAGTAATAAGGGGGACTATGTACCTCATATTTATTTACCTAGAGGGCAGGGACTGATATCTGGGGGCCCTTATTCTAAAGGGGATTTCCAGATTCTGAAGCCCCATCACATCCACCAGACCAGGAATGTGGGGATAAAGTCCTTGTCCCCATTAAGGACAAGGTGCCTTGTGTGGGAGGGGAGGCTTTGCGTCTTTTCCTCCAAGATACCGGCCCAACATTGAGGGTATGTGGCCTGATATGGTTCGGACTGTGGGCACAGGTTCGTGCCCCCCCCCCCCCCTTTTTTTTTCCGG